TCCCATGCCACAAATCTTCCGCATTATTCTTACGCAACTCCCAAGCGTGTCCTTTTCATGCTGACTCCGTAAGATATCCCAAGCCTCGCGTGCCGTTTTCGCCTTCTTGATCAACATTAGCTGACTGTCCTCTATACTTAAACCAATGGTAACAGTCGCCTCGGCGTCCAGCTGCTTCCAAGCTGCATCCGGTTCGTTAGGCGGGGGCTCCACAATACATTTCCATGTTCCTTCTTTTCGCAATATCAACTCCAATTTAAATTTCCACAAATGGTAGTTGTCTGCGTTCAGCTTTGTAAAAGATCCTTTTAAAAACTCCATCGTGCAACGGCCCATAACCTATTGCAAATGTGTTCAAGCAACTTATAAGAATTTATAAAAGGTCTTTATTGTATAAGAATTTCTTACAGAATGAAAAAATATTTTCTGTTATATTAGACTGAAACAACTCGATCTAATCAACTGCCAATAAGAATTATAAGTTAAAGTGTAAATATTACAAAGTAGTAAATATTATTAAATTGATATTTCTAACAAATTCTTCGTAGCCGCTGCTGATTGGACAAACATTTGGAGTGGAGTCCAATGAAGCCGGCGGTTGAACGCGTTCTCTTTGAGCTAAATTTTGGAGTTTTGAATTTTTTTGCAGGGTTTTTGACCACCAGACTATAGAAGCATTCTATTAATTTGGAGTTTAGGCCCTATGTTCGACCAAAAATCTTCGACAGGCCCACAGCTCGCTTTACTAATGGCGTTTTCATTTCTAATGAAAAATGTTGCCTTCTCAGTGCCCTCTACGCACAACTACTAATGATAGCGCAATGAAAAGCAAAATTTGTTTGTAGAAACGAAAACTTCATAAGAGTTTTATCTAGATGGGAATTCAAACTTACTATCTTGTCTAGGGTAACCCCAAGATAATTGCTTCACCAAGGGTAACCGAACCAAGGTTCGGATGGTTCCTTCTTATAAACCGTACCAGAACAGTCTTTTTCGGGTTTATATTGACGCCTTCATTGCCGCATCAGTTTGATACAATGCGCAGAGCTGCACACATAGCGTCCGCATATCTAACAGCATCGCAACCTCTTTCCTGGTTAGAGGTCATCCACCACGAGAAACCATAGTAGAGGACACACCATTTTATGGCTGTAATGTTCACAGAATTGTTGCCTAGGGACGGTGTTATAACACGTTCACGAGGCACCCGACAGTGCCTTTGAGATATATCCATAGGCCCTAAAGCAATATGCCCGGTTCCGGGCTTACTAACGAAACGCTGTAGGACAGAATCTGTCGATTTACGCAAACTGGGTGTAGTGTTTGTGATTGCCAGTAAGTTCGCCGCTAGACCAACCTCTTGTGCCTTACTAATGATATTAATATTTAATAGCATACATCACTATAGGGCAAAACTGAGTACATGGCGGTTTCTGCTAAATATTTGCAAGGTTTTTAAATTCAAAATTCAACAAATTTCCATCAAAATTTTCAAATTTTTAACCTGAATCTTTAAAAAAAAAGTTTTTTGGGATGACTTTTGCGGTTTTCCTCATACAACAAGTGCTATTTATAAGACATCGCGCTGATCGGTCTTGTGCATCTTTCATAAGAAATTCAAAAAGCCGTCAGACTAACGTCTCTATTCTGTATCAGTGACATATTCTTGTCACATTTTTTAAGGGAAAAATATATGAAAAAATTTAAATTTGTCAGTAAAAAAAATTTTGTCAACGATACAGAATTGGGCTATAAAATTGTATGGGCTATAAAACTCTAAGCTCGTTATAAAAATTTAAAGTTGGTTTTGGTTAAAGCCTGAACCATATCTAATATATAAATTCTCGTGTCACGGTGTTAGTGGTCGAACTCTTCCTAAACGGCTTGACCGATCTTTATGAAATTTTTTGTGCATATATAGCAGGTATGAGAATCGGATGTTAAGTATATTTCAAACCGCTAGGTGCAGGGGGCGTGGCACCTCCCATACAAACCGAATTTTTCACACTGCATATCTCTGAAAGTGTTCATGGTAGAGTACTCGAACATGGTATGGAGATATACGAAAATAATCGCATACTCATGGAGAAAAATTGTGGTTATTGGAAAAGGGGGCGTGGCACCTCCCATACATATACCGAATTATTCATTCTGCATATCTCTGGAAGTGTTCATGCTAGAGTACTGGAACTGGGCATGGAGATATATGAAAACAGTCACATACTCATGGAGAAAAAGGGGGCGTGGCACCTCATATACATACAAGCCGAATTTTTCATACTGCATATCTTTGGAAGTGTTCATGGTAGAGTACTGGAACTTGGTACGGAGATTTCATATATCTGTATGAAGTGTTCATGGTAGAGTACTGGAACTGGGTATGGAGATATATGAAAACAGCCGCATACTCATGAAGAAAAATTGTGGTTATTGGAAAAGGGGGCTGGCACCTCTTATACAAACCGAATTTTTCATACTGCATATCTCCGGAAGTATTCATGGTAGAGTACTCGAACATGGTATGGAGATACATATATAAAATCAATCCCATACTCTTAGAAAAAATTCTAACGCACTGAAACTATTACGTATCTTTGTATGCATATACACTTTTGCTAGGTTATTTAAGCCGGCAATGGAAATATGCCTTCTGACAACTACTGAAAATCATAAACGTGAACTGTTGGTGAACATGTTGGACCAAAATATTTCAATACAAATATTTATTTCCTTTTTGGTTGTTGTTGTTTCCGACAGGGTGGGTGTATGATGTATTATGGAACGAATTTCCGTCATCCCTTGTCAAATTTGGTTTGGAGACAAACCGGTTTCGGCGTTGTGCCATCTTCAGTGTCAGAACGAAAAATGACACTGAAGATGGCACAACGCCGAAACCGGTTTGTCTCCAAACCAAATTTGAGAAGGGATGACGGAAATTCGTTCCATAATACAACAAATATTTATTTTAGGCGGCACGAAGTTCGCCGGGTCTGCTAGTTTTTATATAAAAAATAACAAACAAAATTTAATTTTAACACTATGTATGCATACCAGAGTTGTGAAAAATGCATTAATTTTGTAATGCAGTAACGTACCATTAAGCAATAATGTTAATGTAAATAATTACTGCACATATTTTTAAAATTTAATGCAAATGAAAATTTCAATGCATTAATTCTGAAAAATATAATGCTAATGAAATTTGTTTTCATTAAATTATCCAAACTAATGCTAATGAAAAATTTTAACACATTCAAATATTTAACAATTCAATAAATTTGTAATTTTTCGAGGAAGGACTTTTAACAATTACCAATATTTTTCAGCTTCAGTCTATTATGTTCATTTGTAGAAAAAATCTTGTAAACATTGTTAGATGTTTTATGAAAATAAAAACAATGTCCATGTAACTCATTCGGCTTTTGTTGATTTTTTTGTTGTTTGTTTTTGCATACCGATTATATAATATAATATAGCAGCACATGTACACGACTGCAGACCTATTTTTGATCTAAATTAATCGTTTTTTATTTCCATTTGGCAATGTGGTTTTACCTATTTGACGACAATTGCCATTGAATTTGACATAGTGAAAACCAGCCTTAACTTCCGCCACCATCTTTTTTGACCTCAAAGTTCTACCCTCAACGTTAACAAACAATTTTTACTTCAAAATAAAAAAAAAAGTCATTAGCATTATTTCTTCGGAATTAATGCATTAAAAATTTATCAAGCATTAGATTTAGATTAATGCATTAATTTTTTACATTAGCATTAAAATGCTATGCATTAAAAAATTAATGCATTTTTCACAGCTCTGATGTATACTATGGTGTTCGATTATTCTCATTTTTTTTCTCGAGTTATTCGAAAAATTGCAATTAAAAACAAAACTGGTTCCCGATTTTGAAATTAAGAAAACCCCGGATAGTTTTCATACAGTGAAAATTCTTATATTGGTATGAAGTCATGATTAAAAATTACAATAAAACTATTAACATTAAAGAAGCTTATATTAAGAAAAGATCACAGCAAAATAAGATACATTTTTTTTAGGTCAAAAGTAAAACCAATAAAAATCAGTGGAAAACTCAATTTTAGTCCTATTTTAACTTTTTTAATGCTTTATTGCATTTTTTCTGACTTTTTTTCGGATTTGAGTAATGCTGTTGCCATCGTAGCCGAGTACATAGATGTGCCTACAACCACTAGGAAGGCTCATAGGTCAATTTCTGGTCACAGCAGCGGTCGCCGTCGGAAGACAATGGCAAACCTCCGAGTGTAAAAAAGCTTCTTCGGAGGTGGAGTAAACGTGTAGATCTCTCCATTTGTGTGACAACATCAAGGAGCAGAACCCGATTTGGAGGAGGAGCTCGGCCAGACACTTAAGCGCCAAACATTCATTCATTGGAATCAAATATGATGTACGGTTCATCCCCAAATAACCTAGGATACAATTTTAAAAATATTGAGAGATTTCCCTTAAATTAAAATAATCTTTGAAAAGTTCGAAAACCCCAAAACTTTTATTGAGAGATCAAGATTTCTATGAAATAAAAAAACGGTTTGTTTGTTTGTATAGATATAAAAAAAAACAACGGTGGAAACAGGGTTGGGAAACCTCGTCAATCACGCTAGTACATAAATATGTAGGTACCCTGGCGGCACAAGATAAATCGGTTTCAAAAATCAACATTTTGACAAAAATCAACATTTGAATTAAAATTACAAGTAAACGAATTGAAAATACATAAATGCAAAATAGGACCATTGACTGCTTTTTATGACATCGCTATGTTAAATAAATCACTTCGTTGCAAAAAATAGCAATTAGTTGTTATTGAAAGAAGTGTAATTTGTAACTCCTTTTAAATTAATCACATTTCCGGTGAGATACATACTTACTTACTTACTTAGTTGAAAACACATTTGAGACAAAAAGAATTTCCTTTCATTGTACATACAAACATACAAATATTTTGCTTTATTTCTCTGTGCTTCATACTTTTATCTTTTTTCACTTCCATCACGCTGGCCATAACACTCTGTTGCTAAGGAAACACGCTGAAGTTTTCAAACAAAAACAACTTGCACCAGGGTTCTTGTTTTATAATTAAAGGATTTGCGTTTGAATTAATAAATATGGACGATTTAACGGATTACTCCTCGGAAATCATTGAGTTTTTACCAACAAAGCAATTGGAAAAACAAAGTAAAGTCGTCGAAGCATGTGTTAACACAGATCCTGAATCGCCAAGTCAGGATAAATCAGTGGAGACTACGCCACATTCTAATACCAGCACTCAAACGGAGCTCTTTACTTCGCAGAATTGTGAAGTTGATGAGAGGAAGCTTGCCAATTGGTTACGCAAGATTTGCCCAGCCGTTGAACAACAACTTCTCAAGGGACCTACACCCCTCAGTGATGGCTACGATAGTACTAACTCCTTTGCTGAACAGTATAACATACAAACATATCAAAAGATCGCCATGGGTGCAGTGGAAAACTCACAAGGAATTGCCGCTTGGTTATCGGTGCACACCAATAATGCACCCATATTGGTAGCTAGCACCAAGGCACCACACGATGACTGGTGCGACCATCTTCAGCAGACACTGAAACTTTTCGTGCCAAAACGCATACCAACCGGAAACTTAGTTATGTACAATGAAGTGAAAAGTGTGCCGCTGAAGTCATGCCTGAACTGCTTCAATACGAATGGTTATAATAAGAATATATTTGCTGGTTCTACAATGGATGGCGACATATATATATGGCTGTGCAGTTCAGGTGGTCGAGGTGATGGTAACAATTTAAGATCCAACACAGCTGGGGCACATGAAATTGAAGAACTCTGTTGTACGACATCGCCACACGGCTGCGCTGTAGCATTGAATTGGCCAAGTGAAAATCGGCTGCTCAGCTTTCACTCAAATGGCACAATCATCTGTTGGGCTGTGGGCAAAGAATTGCTTTTGGAAAATGAGTAAGGATAAATTTGTATGGCTTTTTTTTACATGCATCAGGGCTACCGCTTCTAACACAGCCCTTATTTTATACTCATAAGTATTCGAGATGTCTGTACTCCAGATCTGTTTATTAATCCTGATTTCGCTAAGCTAGTCGTCCATGTCCACCATGTGCTTAACATTTTGTGCAGAACCGAATCTCGCAAGTTCAATCGCTATCTCATTTCCGTATATGTCTCTGAGACCCATATTAGATCAATTTAGAAATAATCAGAAATTTAGACTAACTCTCTCTTACTTGTACTGAATAAAGAGCTGAAAGCCCGAAGAGCGGTGTACGCTTTAAAAGCCTTTTGTACAGTTCTACTTTTACAGTTATCAAAAAGGTGTGACCTAGCCGAGAAAGAGAAGAGCGCCTGAATTGCCACCTGGCTATATAGACTGTATGCAGCGCTTTTATATCAGATGGGTGTCTATTTAGGATGCACTGTAACCGAGTGGCTTTTCTTTACAGTAACCTATCACCCTCAATATTTATTGCGCTGGTATAGCTATATTTTCGATAGAAAGATAAGTCGATAATAATTCGAGCAGAACGTTCAGAGCCTCCATTTGGCAGGATCTCAGCTGGCCTCTGAATTCTGCTATGATTTGTTAATGACGTAATCCTTAATTTGCGCTGGCCACTACAACATCACGCCATATAAAAGTATTGGTCGGCCAAGAGTCGTGTACAATCGATGGCTTGCATCCCCATGTATTGCCTTGCATTCTATAGAGGACCACCGAGGCCTTCCGTACTCGCTCATCAGTGTTCTGCATTCAATTAGGTTTGGGATACAAACAACTCCAAGATAGTCCACCCCGTATGAAAGACACAGTTCTGAACCCTTCAAATTAGGTTTAGTAAAATTTGGTAACTTCGTCTGGAGAGCATCAGATCAGTTTTCTCAGGATTCACACTAAGCGAATATACTTTTGTTATGGCTGCATCGTCAGCAATAGCCATTACTATGATTTACGGGGAATTTAGGTCCTGAAATTAAACCAATGAGTATGATTTCTAAAATTCAGCCTCTAAAAGCTTAAACGGACGGAGCGTCAAGTTTTTCTTTCAACTCTGCTCGTTCGTAGGTGAATGAGATGAGAAGAGATGGGAGGGATGCAGATACCTCCGTACTATCCAGTCGTTTCAAGTTTTCTTGCCTGTTTTAATCTTTTCGTTGTGTTCTTTAAGAGATTAAAATTTAACTTTAAGCTTGTGAAAGCAAATAGAAGACAGAAGGTCTGATTCATATAAAAGCTGTGTCCTATTTAGAAGGTTTTCTTTTTATGATAAGAAATGTTGTATTTATCTAAACATAGATATACGAGAGGGATCACACTACTCAGTTCTAAAGACACAGTTATAAGGTCCAATAAGTTCGTTGACGGTGGGCTTCAGTCTTTCACACAATGCGCTCAATAAGACCTTGTAACGTATGCTTAGAAGGCTGATCCCGCGGTAGTTGGCGCTAATGGCGGGGTCGCCTTTCCTGTGAATTGGGCAGAGCACAGTTAAATTCCAGTCGTCGGGTATGCATACATCTGACCATAAAAGTTGATGCATGCACGTTATCAGCTCCTCGCCGCCGTACTTGAATAGCTCAGCTGACCAGCTTTAGGTTCCAGCAGCTTTGTTGTATTGCAGCCGCGTAATCGCCATTCGTACCTCGTTATAGTCTGGCGGTGGAACATCGACTGGGGGCTCGGGTTCGTCTCCTCCACAACTTTCAGTGCTGCTACCATTCAGTAGGGTGGAAAAGTGTTGCCTTCATAATTTAAGTTCTTACAAGAGTTCGCCATGGTCTTGAAATCGTAAAGTCCCCTAACTCTCTGGTAAAATTTTCAGGGCGTTTTTCCTGTCGGCCAGCATTTCAAGCTCTTCGCACTCACGTATTTCCGACTATTTCTTCTTATTGCGGCAAATACGTCTCGCTTCCTTCTTCAGTTCCCTATAGCGGTCGCATATAGCTCGCGTTGCGCCCGTCCCCAGCGTGGTCCTGTAGGCGGCATATATTTTCTCTGCTGCTTCTTCACACTCCGAATCGTACCAGTTGGTCTTTCCGGCTCGCTGAAATTGTACTACTTCTTCGGCAGCGGTACATAGTGGGCGGGAAATGTAGTTCCATTGCTCGCATAAGTCGGTTTGTTGAGTAGTGCTCTCAGAGCCAAGGTGTGAGCGGCGAATTCGCTGACAGTCTGTTGTGATTGCAGCTTTTGAACGTTGAGCTTTCCTTGTGTTACTTGACACACCTTTTTTGCTGCACAGAGGCGTGTGCGTATCTTTGCTGCAACAAGATAGTGATCCTCGGAAGTGTACGTACTTCTAAAGCACTGGGAGCGTACCTTCCATCTATCACAAGATGATTTGGTTTCTCGCTTTTCGATCTGGAAACAATCGCTTAGCTTGATAGATCATTTTATATTGAAACCTCGTACAGCCCACTACCATGTTTCGAGCCCCGGCGAAGTCGATCAGCCTCAGTCCATTATCGGACGTTTCGTTGTGAAGACTGAATTTTCAAGCGATGGTTCCAAAGATCTCTTCCTTGCCCACCCTGGCATTGAAGTCGCCAAGAACGATTTTGATATTATGGCAGCGCTCATAGAAGCCAGCCTTGGACACTTCATTCTTCTCTTCCGTCGGGGTGTGGGAGCGGATGAGCCAGATGTTGAAGAATCTTGCTTTGATATGGATTGTGGCGAGACGTTCGTCCATCGGGGTAAATGACAATACTCGGCGACGGAATCTCTCTCTCATCACAAATCCAACTTCGAATTTCCACGCCTTAACATGTCAGCTGTAGTAGACATCGCAAGCCCCCTGGCATTTCTTGCCTTACCCCGTCCATCGCATTTCATAGATGGGGGTGATATCAGCTTTAGTCCTGACGAGGACATCAACCACCTGGGCAAAGGCGCCTTCCCCAATGAGGGTCCGGACTTTCCAGGTACGTGGTCGTCATCAAACGCGGGGTCTCATCCGAGGCTTTGCTGAATTTCTTTACTAGAACAGGTTTTCACGTGGCGGGTCCCAAACCCAGCGCACATCCCACTGCTGGGACAAAACATCAAATAGGCTACTGCCTCACTATGGGTACTTGATTCTACTAATATTTCTTCTTTAATTCATTTTTTTCATAATTCAAAAGATTCCAGCTGCGTCCTCAGCTAAATGCCTCAAACGAGATCACAGCAGCAGTTTGCTTGAGTTCAAATACTTTCGCGGTCGGCGTCAAAGATGGCTCTATATTTTTATGTACGATTACCAGTTTCGGCGGAGTCAGAAAACAGATGGAAATATTACCTTTGAAAAAACATTCATTTATGGTATCAACTTTATTAAAATCTTGTATAAACGACTATCCTACTATAACAAGTTGTGATTTAAGCGGTCAAGTTTACTATCACAGCATAACTAATATGGAAGAGGTAAGTGAGGACCTAACATACTATGCTCATAAGTTAATTAATTAGCAATTAATTTTTTCATTCACTTCCTACAAACGCATGTACATTTCAAGGAAAATCAAAATGTTATACATATACCGCTACCTTTCAAAAACGCTATCGCCTGTTCAAAAGATGGAAATGTTGTCTACTGTCCAGGAATTGACGGATCTTTGGAGTGTTACAGGTATTTTTATTGGTTTTTTATTATACATACAAATGTATGTAAAACTTCTGATATTCCAGCGTGCGCGATGGGGCCCATACCATTATTCAAGGTTCTTTGCGTGGCAAAGGGAATTTCATCGCATCCAGTGACAATGGGTAAATATCCTATAACTCAAAACAATTTTGATGTATTTTGGAACAAATTTCCGACATCCCTTGCAAATTTTGGTTTGGTTTTAAAATATATCGTATTCTAATAGCCTATTTCCACCAAAGGCTTAACTGCAGTTAAGAGCTCGGATAAGTTCCGAGAATTCTAATATGGGGTAATCCGCAAGGTTTATTTCTCCTTTGAGTTGTAATCTCCTTTTTCCACTAAGCATAAACTGCCGTTAAGGCTCGGTGGAAATGAACTATAACCCTGTCAGAAGAATCAACCAACCCCAAGATGGAAAATAATTTCCTTATGGGTTAACCCATTACAGCTAACTATACACACTTGTGTACATCTAAGTTTTTAGTGGGTTTGTAAATATTTTTAAACTTTTTTTCAAATCTGAAAAAGCTGTATTCCTAATCGGAACGCAGTCGACACCATTGTCGATATAGGGTATCCCACAATGACTACCGCAAAGAAATTCAAGCGTATGTTGAAGAAAGTCCGAATAAGAAGAAATATGTATACGTATAGGTCCTGTTTTGTTTTCCACTTGAAATAATTTTAAAAAATATATATAGTTATATTAGCTCTGATCCAGTACTCCATGAACTTACAGGATTTTACACGAACTTGCAGGAAGTGGCAGGAAAAATGTTCCCGTACTCCAAAATCCTGTAAATGAGAGCGACTTTTGGAGAGTTGTGTAGAGAATGAAGTTGCAAGATTTCACCCGAAATTTTTCTTCTGGTAAAATCATGAAAATTGTCAAGCAATCACTGGTTGACGGTTTTACAGGAAAAATGGTTTTTTTGTTCCCGTACTTTTTGTTGCTACTCACTTTTTACTCTCACTTCAGAGAGTAATTTTGCCGTTTGACAGATTTACAGGATTTTTCACGAAAAGTATTGGATATGGACAGTCGATCGCTTGACACTTTTCATGATTTTACCAGAAGAAAAAGTTGGGCTAAAATCTTGCAACTTCATTCACTACACAACTCTCCAAAAATCACTCTCATTTACAGGATTTTGGAAGATGGGGACATTTTCCCTGAAACTCGCACTCTTGTGATTCAAACACTTCTGGCGACAAAATCAAAGCTTTTTTAAAAGTATTTAATTGACTAGGAAATCGTTTCAAAAGTTCTTCGATTAAAAATTTTTGAGTCCTTTAATATGCTTGCTAAGTCAAGTTTATCACGCAGTTCATTAGCCTCTTCTGTAAAATTATCATGGAAAACTAAATCTTGTATATTTTTATAATTGGAAAAAATTTATTTGAAGGGAAAAAATCGTCAAAAAGCGTCAATGGCGATTTTTCTAAATTTTTACGCGCAAACATCAAAAAAACTCGTCAAATCTGGACACTCTGGTTTCAATCCCCATTTGTGACGCGTATCTTAATGTTGTCACACAAATTGAGAAATTTATTGCTTCCAGCCGTCTATGAACCTCAGAAAGTTCTCATTAGAATCTTTTTCAAGATAGAAATAACCTCGGAGATTTGTCAATGCCAGACAAGGGGTACTTGCTTTTGGATTTTTTACTTTAATTTCAGTTATTGGGGGTATAGTGGGGTTGGTCACAGTTTCTGACGCATAGAAGGCCATATAACTTCCAATAGGTTGGAACTTTTCCAGCGTTTCAGGAGTGATGTAACCCTACTTTTTCACTAATTCAAGAAATTTATCTTAAGATAAGTACATAATTGGCTTTCTTTTCTTTTCAGAAACTGGATTATTACTGGACTTTACCAAGGCGATTTTCAGATATTTTACATAGAGAACTGAGTAAATGTGAGGATTAGGTACAGAATATAATTTTATAAGATATGCACCACCGCTCCCAAATACTTAGTCGAAGATCTTTTTAAACACTCAGCGGACCAAATGCTCGCTTTAACCCGGTAAAACACTAGCAAACGAAATTTTTTGAAAAATTTTGCTGGAGGAATGTACAAGAGAAAAAATAAAATAAGAACTCATTTTATATTAAATGTAATTTATTATCTATGATTTTACTATATACATATGTATTCATTATATGCGTTGGTAATCTAACTTATACACAAATATTTGCTTTTTTAAACTATTGTATAACATTCCAAGACTGGACAAGAAGTCATAAATCATATCCAAACTAAAATATTAATGCATATACATATACATATGCGTGGCCTGTTAGTTATGAGATATATAGTACATAGGTACATATTCTTGTGATTTCTCATAAACAAGTAAAGATGTTATCAAAAAAAATTATTAGATTTGTTAACAAATCACAGACATAAAATGGTTAATAAATATGATTCTCTACTATAATACATACATACATTTTCCCATACCTTGATTTGTGTTAGTTATAACAGAAAAACATTGAATATATATATATCAAAAATAATTTTGAGTAAAAACAATGATCCAAAAACGAGGAAGACTATGCGGAAACTATATACAGGCAACGAAAAAAAAATGTACCCACTAGTATATTTATTTGTTACGTAATCGTCGCTTCTAAGTATTTTGTACATTTTTTATCAGCCAGAAATCAAACAACTAAGCGTTAAAAGGGACCATATGGGCAAATCCCAGAAATAGTCAAGCCAAAACGTAAAAAATGCATGTATTTGAAATTCTCACATTTTCCAATCAATAATGGCATTGTACAATTACATATATTAAATTCAAATTTCTTTTTACACTGATTTGAAAAATGTAATTTGGCCTTCTTACTTCATGAAACAAAGCTCTGAATAGCCTCAATGGTAAGCACTATTATCTTTAATTAAAATACCACGCTTTCGCTTAAAAATAAATTTTCTTAGTGATAAAAAGGGTAACGTCCGCAACGAACGTTTTTTTTTATAATACATTTTGTTAACTTCGTTATTTTCCCTTCTTGTAGATTCTTCTTCATACGTAAACTTTTCAGAAATCTGTTGTCTTTGATGATCACCTGAAAATCGCGTCCATTTGAGTAACAAATAAAACGACATTACTTTAAATTCTAATTTTAACTATTTTGTTCTCATAAGTACTGCTATAAACCTTTCCGTATACCAGGCAAATATTTTAACTTTTCCTGTTTTGCCGCCAAAAAAAGTTAAAGAAACGTCCGAACGTAAGGTCCACAACGCCAGGATTTGCCCATATGTTAATTAAAGCGAAAATGTATGTTATTACAACTTTTTTCAAGTAGTTACGGTCTCGCATATACGCTTGTATTTATAAACTAGATTACACAGTACGGTGCATTTGTTGTAATGTGACTTTTTATTGATAAATTTGACGCTAAATGGCCCTAACTCTCTTTTTATATTACAAATAAAATCGTTTTTAGTAAATACAATAAAGTTGCTCTCATTGTAAAGTAACGGATGCAAGCAAATGATTAAAATTTGTTAGGAATATATTGTAAAGGTGACAATTTACATAAAACATATCAAAAATATATGTATAATTGTATATTGGAATAAGTCGGATAGACAGACATATATATACACACATGAATCCTCCTAGCTGCAAAACAAAAATAATTGTAATATGTATAAACCAAATTTCCGTCAGAACTTTTTAACAAGACATGAGGAGAATGCTTGCCGAGGAAATTCATACAATGAATAATTGGTTAATATACAAAATATCAAAAATACATACATAATATGCGCCAGAGCGCAATATACATATACAAGAGCGTAAATATACATATATAGTAAGACTAACAATAATGATATCGGAAACAATTCAGCTACATATTTCTTGTACAGCAAACATTATGCCTCGATGATAAACTTTTGACTGCCTAGGATGGACTGCGCCAGGTTTTCTTGGCGGTAATGGCTGTATTTTATTTCAATTAGTTGAACAAAACAGTATTTGGATCCTCATCGTCCATTTGCTTAACATGGCGCAAAACGTCCTTCTTAGTTATAACACCCAGCAAACGACTGAAAAGTTTTAAAGAGCAAAGTATCTTTCAATTTCTAACAAATATGTGCATATGAATTCGCAATTACCCATTATGTGTCACCAGTGTTTGCCGTAATCCCAATTTTCGGAACATATCCACCACAGTTTCCATTGGGGTCTGATCTGTTACCGTTATGGGCGCCATATCCAAGATTTTCTTCAATTTCAGCGGTGGTGGACCCAAATTCTGAGTTTGCGCTGCAGATGTAAATAATACTATCGACGAGCCAGTGATACCCTCGATCAGCCGCTTGCCGTTACCTAAATGTGAATGAAAGTTATTAGGTTTTTGATTGTTTAATTTATAATCTATATCAGATTACCTATAGCTAAATTGAGATCCCTGCGCAGCACGAACCCAACTAAATACTGACTTTCTTTTGACACTACAACTGGATATCCATTATGCTCAGTCTCCTTTAGTAATGTCTCAATGTCATCAACAGTCATAGAATCTTGCGTGATAACATTAAGAGTCTCATTCCTTCTAAAGATATATAGGATCGAATTAACAATCAACATATTTCTCATAGAAACCAAAAATTTAAAAACTTACTTTGGTTGCATTACATCAGCTGCCAGAGTTGTATGTGCAAACTCTTCTTTACTATCGAGGAACGGATAACCATTAAGAGCTATGTGTGCATCATATATACCCTGAAAAAGACAAACAACAATAAAATAACTTTTTAGTAGAAGAAAAATTAAATAATTATTATCAGCTCTATTCTTAATTTGCAAACAAAAATTACGAATCTTGATTATTTCAGTAAAAAATAGCATATAAAGGCGATTGAATACAAGCCATTGATTTTTTTTTTAATGAGGAAATAATAACTTAATTTACCTGTCTTCCGAGGGCATCACCCACCCATTTCGAAGCCATAGCAGCAGCCATCAATGGAACTATATAACCAACGCCGCCTGTCAGCTCGAACATGATTACCACCAAGGAGACAGTCATGCGTGTTACGCCGCCCAGAGTCGCAGCTGCGCCCACCATCGCATATAAACCGGGTGTAATAAGATTTTTGCCACTGACGCATTCGCCGGTGAAGAGCCAGATGTTTGGATAGCTGTAGGCGAAACGTTCAACGCCTATGCCATAGAGAAAATCGGTAAAAATTACATAGGGAACATTAAAATACTCATGGAAACTCACCAATTCCTACAATGCGACCCATAATTGAACCCAGTAGCAGGGAAGGTATGAACAAGCCCGCAGGTACCTTCATGCCAAAAGTGAAAACAGCCAATGCTAATTTAAATACAAAAGCAAGTAGGAGCAAAATAATAGCATGATATACACCAGCGCCCGGTTCCGTCACTTCTATCGAAGATGTGGCGCCATTCGTAATATTCATGCGCTTGTAATCGCTGCAAAAAAATGTTTGAGTAAGTCAATAAAGTAGATAGATAGCATTAGTTATTGGTACTTACCATAGCGGATTCGTGGTATCGCCCGGCGAACATTGACTGAAGAGTAAATAAATAAGCTCGTTCATATTCATGCGCGTAAATGGATTGGGAAAGCACAAGATGCTAGTTACAAGTGTCACCACCAGCACTTCAACAACGGGATATTGGCCTAGCTTGCTAAATTTGCGGTAACGACACCACCATAAATTCGCCTTGATAAATATTGTGCCGATTACACCCTATGTTTTATTGATAAAATATATATGTATGTAAATATTAATAAGCAATAACAGTATGCATATGTATATCATGCACTTACGCCCATAATTCCCAAAAACACAAATGGTATAAGTTCGAAGAATATCCAAGGTTTATTATATTCGACGAAAAATAATACCGAATGCTCATTTCCAAAGGGTGTCAGTGAACGTAAAACGAATGCGGCAATTAATGCGCAAAAGAATGAACGCCACAGCGTCTTCAGCGGAAAATAGTAGGAAACCTCCTCGAGTGAGAACAGCACACCACCGATGGGTGCACCAAAAGCCACAGACACACCAGCCGCTGCAGCTGCAGATAGAATCTCACGTTTCTTCGCCTCATTGCGTCCATATTTTGGAAACATGTGCGAGAATATATTGCCTATACAGCTGGCTATATGTACCATGGGACCTTCTTTGCCCAACGTTAAACCCGCTGATACAGAGAGCATGAGACCAACAGATTTAATTAGCAACGTCCACTTGCCCAAGTAACCACGTATAATAAATCCGGAAAGTATGGTCTTAATTTCCGGTATACCAGAACCACAGGCATACGGTGCAAACATGCGCACTAGCGATGCACTTAGTGCGGCAAACATTAGCGCCCATATGATAAACCAGAAATAGGACATTAGGTAGGCGCCAGTGCCATTACGATCCATACCCATAATCTCCGGCCAAGTCTTCCACTGTAAGTAGCAATTGCAATAGTGAAACATAATGAGAACAGTAACTACATACATACATACGTTTATAAATATTTACTTACCGTTGAGCAATTGCCCTCTTCGAATACAGATTGTTTTGTTGGCCAACAGCATTGCTCGCGATTAAACCAAAAAGCTTGTGGACAAATGCCGTGCTTCAAATCAGACATCCAACTGGCGCCAATATCGATCATGCCAGCTACAAAACCAGCAGCAATACCAACAAAGAGTACACATAACCAACCGGACCATGCATCATGAGCACCCTATAAAAGAAAACCTAAGCTGCAACTGAATGTTATCAAGGAAAAATTAGTTAATGCACCTTCAGAAGGTCCCAAAATGAATCCTGTCTCTTTTTGACTATGTAGCGATGCCGCATGCGATCACGAGCAATATCGCGTTGCCAGTCGATCGTGTGAAAATCATCGTATTGTCCAATGCCAGGTATATCATCGTGCGCGTCTGTATATCGAATTGAAGTAGATTTTGTTTACATACATACACATGTATTTAGAATATTTTTACCACTCACCCGATGAACCATAAAATGCCATTCCACCTTTACCCATGGAGAGAAACGATATAAATAAGTTATAATATTGAAAGTGCAAAAATTTATTTATTCATGCATATAAATACGAACACTTGAGTGCACGAAAATAGCAGCGTGACGTTTTGACAAGTTTCAACAATTTAATTTCCTTTTATTTGGTTTTTATTTATTTATTTTTATTTTTTTACAACAAAAACTATGAAAGTTTCTATTTCTATTTAAGTTTCAAACTTTCTACAAAATTTATAAAAATTCAACAAATTTCCATTAAAACATAAAACTTTTTATCAGAATTTTTTGAAATCTAGTTGTAACTATATCTTTACAAAAATATCAGGGACCGTAATCTTTATAAGTAAAATAATTTAAATCAGCATTTATGTAATCATTATTTTATGATTTTTTTCGCTCAGAGATAATAAACATTACTGAGTTTTATTTTTCGCTTAAAATTAATACTTATTTATAAAATTTAAAAGGCCATACAGAGGAACCTACGGAAAGTTTGACATGAAAATTTTTAGACTTATTCCTTTTATTAGTGTCGCTACCTTTGAAAAGTGTACGTCGAAATCAAGCTAGTATAGCTTTTCAGTTTTTTGAATAAATTATTCTTAAGTGAAAATATAAAACTCAATAGTGATTATCCACCAACCAAATTTAAGTGCAGTTTGATGTTTTGTTTTGTATTCACTTTATTGCAAGAATTGAAAAAATACAATGAACAATGAAGTGTTGCCTGATATACTCAAACAATAGAGATCTGCGCTGTACGTTAAAACCATTGGTTTTAAATTTTTTATCCAAACAGAAATGCAATTTAGGTTAATAAAAACTAAATCTGTTTTTATTATTTGTAAACATTTCTTTAATTCGACAAATAAAAGAACGCCCAAGAAATGGTCAAGAAAAATTTATTGAGCCAAATTTTCTTAAGCAGTACGAAGTTCTTAAGAAATTTGCTACGCTTTCTACTATGGCTTGCCAAAGTTTGTTTGTGAAGGGTAAAAGGCACCCTTGTTTTGAACAGATATATATTTGCCCGTTCCATTATTACGTAAGAAGAAGTGAGGCAGCAGGCTGTAAAATATCGGATGTCAAAACTCCTTGGACAAAACTTTTCACACACACGAAATAATAGCAATTTATTTCTTGATCGTTGTCTTAAAAGATCCATACTACACTAACACTACTTTATACATTGAAATAAACAAAATAAGCATGATCGTTGAAATTAAGCTTGGAACCCTGCATAAGAAAAAAAGGCAGTTCCAAGCAAAAGCTTCGGCTTTTCGGCCGTGGTGATTATTATAATAAAATAAAAGATAATTATCTTTGAGCGAAAAAATAAAAATCATCATTTCCAAAAGTATTTTAAAACTTAAGACTTTTTAATTCTCTTTCGTCTGAAATTCTTTTAATTTTTCAAATACCTGGCAACCCTCCCAAATATGGTTCTGAAATAGAGTATGTATTTCTTTCATCTGACACCCACATTGTGTTACATATTTATTTCAATTACCTAGTTGCTGCAATTCAAATTGAATTTGATTTTTTAAACATATGACAACACTCCTCAATATAATTTTGAAATAAAGCCTTTTCAAACCCATTTCGATTGATACAATTTGTTTTTATTATTAATTTAACTTAATAAATAATTTGAATGAAACTTTTTAAACAGGTGGCAACCCTATTCAAACACCTCAAAAATATTCTAAATATTCAAACTAGAGATTTCTTAACATTCTTTCGTTTGATAGGGGTGCTATTTTAATGTTTCATAAAACTTGTGTATAATTTAGCTAAATTAGACTTTTTTAAAAAAGTGGCCACGCTTTTGAAAATATTTTCAAACAAAAACGTTTTTTAATGTCTTTTGTCTTATACACTTTGAAAACGAGTTTTGTGGATTGTAGGCTGACGGCTGTTCGCACCGGCTGTTAGTGTTTTCGTTGACATTTTTTACGTCCTTTGNCAACGTTTTTTAATGTCTTTTGTCTTATACACTTTGAAAACGAGTTTTGTGGATTGTAAGCTGACGGCTGTTCGCACCGGCTGTTAGTGTTTTCGTTGACATTTTTTACGTCCTTTGTTCACAGTTTTGCTACAAAAAAAAACCCCAAATCTATCTGTTCATTCATTTCCTTTTCATTAACACCCTTCTTTCTTTTATGCTTGTTTTAATTTGACCAGCCAATTAATAATAAATTCGATAAAATATGACTTCCACTTCGAAAAATCGCACACCGTCTTAAAAAGAGTTACAACTCAAAATAATACGTGCGTCCGAAAACGCGAGAAACTATTTCGTAGCACATGCTAATTAATATATGGGCAAGGGCGATTTTATATAATCTTCTTTTTATCAAGTTATAACAAAAATTTGCTCCAGCTTTTGCTGAAAGGTAAATAAAAACTCTGTGTACATTTTTAGCGCATAATTTCAAAAATGCCAAATTTTGAGTTGTGACTCTTTTGAATACGGTGTGCAAATATAAATAATAAACTAGTGCAAACACCGATTGGAATGAGAGGAACGTAAACTTTCAAGTAGTTTTCAGCGAAAACTGGTTTTCGTTCGGAGAGATTTTACATGGACGAAAACACAAGTTTTAGGCCGAAAACCTTTAATTTGACAACTAATTTTGATAATCGAATGCAGATGTTGAACATTTATTTTAATCTTAATCTCGGATCTTAATCTTAATCCTGATCTTAATCTTAATAGTTACCGTACCAACCACCCCCGCCATACACTACCTTCTTCTGTCGCTTTTCGTTTGGAATTAGAGCCCAACGAGTGTGTCGCTTTTTCGTTACATCGATGTTTGTATTTACTCCCAACCGAACGCAAAGTAGTTTCACTTCGAAAAGTTTTCAATTTTTATGAAAATATGTTAAGATTTACTAAATTTTATAATTCTTGTAGAAAGTTTCAAACGTAAATTAACTATGTTTATAAAAAAAAAAATTAAATAAAAAGATATCAAATGGTTAAAACTTGTTAATAGGTCGCGCTGCTATTTTCGTTAACACAGCTGTATGTAAAGATTTTTGTACAAATATAAACAAATGTATATGTAAAGAGAGGTAAATAAATTGGAATTATTTACACGTAGGTAAATAAGAAGGCATATGCCTTGATAAATGCAAATTATGACGTTGCTTTCTTTGCTCAAGTGTGTGAAATCTTGAAAGTAGAGAGCTTCCAGCGAGCGGTAAATGTGGTACGGATTTTTTAAATTTGGCTTGTTACATATGTATGTATGTACATACATACGAGTTTATGACTTTCATATTTTGCAATGCATTCAACCTTTTTCTTGGCAGTAACTTTCAGATTAAGGTTAAAGAGTACCTATGTATAAAAAAGTATATAAATTTGTTACAGAACTCTCCCACATGGAATCTAAAGGAAGATCTTACAAACTGATTAGGGCATTCCAGCACACGGGACTCAATCCCCGCCCGCTCGAGGTTTTTCGCCTTCTCCCTTTAACTCGCTCCCAAACGGGTGTTGATCGCTACCCAGAGGATACATGTACATTAGACTGCATCACCAAATACAGTTGCGGTTTTCCGCCGGGATTGAAAAACTTATTATATTTGAAGACGTCCGCCAAAATATTTCGGAAAAATATTAAGATTTACGTGAGCTGGACCGATTTGAAAATACCTCCAAAAATTGAGTTTTTTTATAAATAAAAATAGTTTCTTAAAGAACTTTTTGAAAAAAATCCCCTCAGATTACAAAGCAGATTAAGTTTAAAAACGAATACGTTAAAAAGAAATACAGAGCATTTGGCGTCCCGTATGAAATAAATAAATTACCAGGACAATTGACGAAAAAGAGGACTGTACCGTTTAATACAGGGCGGATGGTTACCGTAGCAATAATTGAAAACTTCCATAAAAAAAATGTTAAGAAACCTATCAACAAATAACTGTTAGAACGTACCACGATCGAATTCGTTGAATTAAACGGATTCAACGGCTTGCTCAGCAGATATAAGGCGTGTTTTTTTTATACGCATATACGTACATCCACGCTTAACGTGTAAAAAAAGCATCGAAAATTTCCATTCAATAACAAATCATTTTGAATTTATCTACAACTATTCATAAGCGCACATAAAGTTTGTCGCTTACAGCTTCATACAAATTTTAAGCGCAGATACGCCTATTATTGAAAATACTAGTCAGTTTTGAGTTCTTCGAACATTTCTGAATAAGAATAGTTTTATTCCGGTTCATTCATCACAGTTTTCAAATATGCATTGTCAATAGCTTCCCGGCTGCGAAGGACGTTTATGGATGAAATACTATATGAGGTTACTGCCTTAATTGTCGCCTGACTACGTTTAGCTTTACCTTTACTTTTAGAAGTAAGGATAATTTATTGCAGAAAATTGCCAAATTGAGCAAGTGACCTGGCAGTCTGGCAAAGGAGTACATCAGCTCAGGCAACGACTGTTGTCAACTGTCAACTGAGCTCATCTGCTCTTTTGCCAGAGTGCTAGGCCACTTAGCTTACTTCGATTCTCTACAAAAAAGGTCCATATACCAAATTATATAGGGCTAATAATTTCGAAGATACTTGCAATTGCTAACCAATTTATTAATTAATGTATTTATTAATTTTTATTTTTTAAGCACATAAAACTTTGATGGACTTGGGCGAGCCTAAGATATTGACCAAAAATTGTATGGCGACTGGGAATGGAATTGATGACCTGTGTTCGAAAGTCAACGGGTATCTCTCCGAACTTTCTCGCTTCTTCACTGCAAAGTGTCTAGCCCTCTCCCCTACGAAATCCTCCGCGACCCTGTTCACAACCTGGACGAAGGAGGTCAGGCTACCGCTGGGGATTCACGTCGATGACACACCAATTCCGACGGTGAATAACCCCAAAATACTCGGAGTAACATTCGACAGCCTGCTCTCCTTCTCTGCGCACTCAACCGCTATTGTCAATAAAGTACAGAGCCGCAACAAGGTCCTCAAGTCGCTAGCCGGCAGTNTGTGCAATTTTTACAAAAAATTCAAAAAACTTTCGTATACATTTTTTTTCGTCTCACTTGTTTCCATATAACGAATACACACAATTTGTTTTTATATGGAAGAAAACCGTAACATCTTCGACAAAAAAATTCTAAAAACCCAACGGTAATTTTTAGCCATTTGAAACTTGAACTTTATTCCACTAGAATTCAATAGGCCACAAAACTGCATACTCAGAATCTTTCTAGGAAATCTAATTAAAAAATCTGGAAATTCTTACGAAAGTTTGTTGAATTTTTCGTAAATATTGCACAAGCTTTGAAACTAGGATTTACACGGGTTTGTTAAAAAATTAACTATATTTTTATAAACAAAACTAACCGCAACAAAATAACAACAAAAATAATATGTTAAAACTTTTCAAACTGTGGTGCGGCTATAATTATTTTGACCACTGTATGTATACAACAAGTTTGTTTTTTGTTTATTTCTATCCTTTTTGATCTTACTCGGACCAGAGACTACGACAGCCGCATATTCGCTTGGAAAAAACTCGATATTTTTTTATATTTATGTATGAGTAACCAATTAATTTAATCAGTGCTAGCCAAACAAACCAAATCACAATTCACACGCTAATTGACCGATAACGAGGATATAAATTGAACGCGTAAAATATATTCGACGCATTTCCTTATGGAAACATGAACTGTCAAATACTAGCGGAGCGGACAAACAATTAACAGTTCACACTTGCAAGCATTATCATTAGCCAATTGTCATATAAAAACGTTTTAACTAGGGCAGTGCGATTATTCGATTACTCGAGCAAGTTAGTTAATCAATTATTCGGTTAATCAAATTACTCGAGTAATCAAGATTTGGATTACTCAAAACGATGATTAATCAAGTTACTTGACATATGATTACTCAAAAAATAATAAGTTTGCTCGTTAAAAGAGTTTGCTTTGGAAAATGCTTTTTTTCTTTTTTTCATTTTTATATGAAAAAAAAAAAAAATATTTCAATTTTTGCAAACAGAAACGTTGTTTTCAAGGTATCAAAGAACTTCAACTACTTTATATGTAAAGAGTAGTTTGAAATGCTGATTACTCATTTTACTCAAAATGTTGATTAATCATAAAGCAAATTACTCAAATATTTTTGTTTTTGGTTAATCACAAATCTGGATTACTCGAGTAACTGAACTTTTGAGTAATCATAATTTCCAATTCATCGAATAATTGAGTTACTTACTTTGTGATTAATTAAAATTTTGAATAATCAATTAATCGCACAGCCCTAGTTTTAACTGAACCACCTGAAACTCAAATAGCTAGACATGCCTGTGCATTAGGGTGATCCAAAAATGCTTGTGAGAAAAAAAAATTACGTCGGAATTTTTATGCTCTCACGCCCTAAGATAGCGTTATATCGAAAAACATACCCCTTTTTTAAATCAAAAAAATATTTAGAGGTCGCTCAAAGTTTCTCATGTGTTTTATATGGGAAAAAAACTATTTTTCGTAGAAATCGTATAGAATCTTTGAATTGACCATTTTTTGAGTTTTTTGGGGGGGACTCATAAACAATCTATATATATAATACGCGAAACGATTTTTTGTCCAGGAAAAAGATCTGCACCGTTCGCTCGTCGATTTTCAAAAATGGGGTGTCAAATTAAAGCGCTTGGCATGGTATGTAGATGTGCAAACTGGTATTTTTTTTTCGAACAGAGTTACCACCAGTAGAACAATTGAATATAAATTATTTAATAAGCAATGCCGTCATAACCGCTCCGTTNCAAAAATGGGGTGTCAAATTAAAGCGCTTGGCATGGTATGTAGATGTGCAAACTGGTATTATTTTTTCGAACAGAGTTACCACCAGTAGAACAATTGAATATAAATTATTTAATAAGCAATGCCGTCATAACCGCTCCGTTCGATGGATTTTCCAAAATGAGGTGTCAAATTAAAAGGCTCGGACTGAAAATATGCAATAGGGTTTTACTTTTTTGAAGAGTTGCCACCTATTAAAAAATTATATTCAAATTATTACAAACTGGGTATCAATCGAAATGGTTTTAAAAAGCTTTGTTTCTTTGCTGAGCTATAGGAGGGTTGCCACCTGTTTAATAAATCAAATTCAATTTGAATTAAGGGAATTAGTTTGGAGAAATATGTTTCCACATATGGGTGCCAAACGAAAGGGGCTCAGAAGGTAGTAGTTTGAAAATATTTTGAAGAGGGTTGCCACCTGCTTGAAATTTCGAATTTCGGTAACTTATCCACAAGTCATATGAAATGTCAAAATATGTGTGTCAAACAAAAGAGTGTTAAGAAGTCTGTAGTTTGAACACTAACCCCTATATTCTAACAGAGTCACAAAACATAGCTCATCACTGTTGTGACTTCAAGTGCGCCGAGAAGTGTGTCACAAAAAATTCGATTTTGAGTGGTAGAAAAATACACAAAAATTTAAAAAAATGAATTGAAGCGGCAAGCTTTGAGGCGCGGTAGAAATCACAGCAGTGATGAGCTAAGTTTTGTGACTTTGTTAGAATACGGCTGTAAGAATAAATTTGTGGTGTTGGAAGAGGGTTGCCATCTGTTAAAAAATTAAATTCAAATTATTAAATAAGTTAAATGAATTATTAAAATGTTGGTATCAATCGAATAAGGTTTGAAACATGAAGCGAAAGAGTGTTAAGAGTGTGAGTTTGAACATTTAGAATGTGTGAAGAGGGTCACCAAGTTTCTGTAAAGGGACATTAAAATTATTTGAAAGGCTTTATTTTTGATTTACATTTAGGAGGGTTGCCACCTGTTAAAAAATGCAGCTCAACTTATGTAAATTAAGGCAATTACCTAATTCAAATATGTATTAAAATTTAGGTATATATGTATATTGGTGTCAAACGAAAGAGTGTTAAGAAATCCTTAGTTTAAATACTAAAAGAATTTTTTAGGTGTTTGAAGAGGGTCGCCTGTTCAAAAATTCAAATTATTTAAAAAGTTAAAAGAATTATTAAAATATGGGATCAATCGTAATGGCGTTGGAAAGGCTTTATTTCTTAAATATATTTAGGAGGATTGCCACGTATTTTATAAGCTGCATTCAAATTATTTAATAAGTTAAATGAATTTTTAAAGGATGGATATCAATCGAAAAGGGTTTGAAAAGGCTTTCAGGTAGGTTCTGCACTTCATTTCAGAGTGAATATAAACCAAATTAGCTTCGAACTCAAATGGAGCTTTGTAGAAGTTCACTCGGAAATAAATTGTATAACCTGCCGGTTTATTTCTGAAATATGAAGGGTCAAAGTTAAGACCTGGGCCTGTAGATGTGCGATAAGGTTTTATTTTTTGAAATTATAAACTTTCTACCGGTACAGGGTGATTTAAAATTTAATTATATTAAAAACCGACTATGCGAAACGGCAGCACGGAATTAGAAGAAATATGACACTCGAATCGCTTAACGCCGTGCCGATTGAAAAACATAGTTTTTCAAGGATTCTATACTATTTCTAAGAAAAACTGTTTTTCCCCATGAGAAACTTTGAGCGTTTTGAGTAACCTCTAAATATTTTTTTTTATTTAAATAAAAAAGGGTATATATTTTCGATATAGAACAATCCATGCGGTGCGACTTTACTTTCTTTGGACCAACCTAATGCGCATACACATGTGCACACGATATACTATAAATATTCGCTAACAAATGGATAAACTCAAATTTGTTAATTAAATCAAATATAGATATTATGCAATATGTATGGCGGCAGCGACTGTGACATAGTGGCCACAAGTGAACACTACCCTTCCGTAGGGCCTAGACTTGAGCCCAGTTTCCGACTAACATCAAAGAGAAAAGAAAAGGTTTACTATTCTATCTATTATCTATCTATTTACTATGTATGTATGTACATACATATGGCTATGTACATAAATGTGTATTTAATCGTATATAATTTCATATACTAATTTTGTACCAGTCTCGAATATCACCACATACATACGTACATACATACTTATTGTATGTAGAAACAGTACCCATCAGCGATTCAATCAAACGTGGAACGTGCAAAGATATGTTATACCCTGTAGAAAAAAATTATCAATTGATAAAAAAAAGTATCCAACTTGTAGTTAGCTTTTTGCGAGGTTCCAAAAATATTTCACTTTTAATTAGCCAGGCAAACTAACTTAAAGCGAGCTGTAAAGTCATGCAGCCGTAATGGGGAGTTTGATTTCTTTAAACAAGTTGAGTTTAAATTCTCTCTTCTCTTCTCTTTTTTCTGCACTTTACAGACGCTTTTCCGAATTCAGAATAAATAAAATGAAAATCTAAATTTTATATTATCATTTTGATGTTATGTCTGATGGAATTCGAACAAAAAAAAAGGTTTTTTCTTATTGATATTTTACGTCGTATGCAGAGGTAACCACCCTTGACTATTTCGCGGCCATCGCCATAGAAGTATAGTTAGCTATCCCCAAAGAAATTGTACAGATCATAGTGACCTTTAGGTCCAGCCTAATAAACTTTAAGTTAACTTATGTATAGTTGGATATATTTCCTGCAGGGCATGTACACGAATACATATGTACATATGTATATATGCTCATACGAATACATATGTCAACAATGGCAAATGCAAAAACTTTTTATCTTTCATACTCACTGTCATTGGTATCGCCGAAAGCGCTATGTGTTGGTACATGATGGTGATTCCGTGAGTAATGATGCTCACGCTCGCCCTCTAAATCAGAATCCGCTGAAGTATGTCGCTTGTAATTGAAATTAGATGAATGCCCAGCATCGCCTGGACTTGAATGTGGTGTGATATCGATCATTTCCTCGTCGTCGTCCGCAACTGTGAGTGCAGTTGTTGTAGCAGTACCGTTGCTTTCCTTTGTTAGAGATGAGGTAGCCAATGGATGATCCTGAGTACTAGTAATATCTCCTACAACACCTGTGTGACCGTTTGACTAAAAAAAATAGGTTAATGAATGATTTAATAAAAACTAAACATCTTACTAAATGAAGGCTTATCTATCTACAGTGTACAATGTACATACAATGTTGAAAGAGATAGTAGAAAAATGGCAAAATTCTATAAGTTATACCTTAATTAAGCGCATGATGACGGGACGTCTAGTTGACTTACAATTTGCCAAAAAATTATAAAAGTTTTCAGTTTTTACTTCATTTTACGCTTAACCACTATGAACAATTTTTCTTTTAACCAAATTTTTACCAAAGTGTGTTTTAAATATTCGCGAACGTTATAACACATGCATTTTTTTAACTTAAGTACGTCGTACTTCTCTTTATAAAGCAGATAGAGATTACATACATATCGTCACCTGAAATGCAAAAAGCCGTAGCTAGCACCATCATCGAAAGACAAATGGCCGTAGCTAGCAACAAATCCAAAATTAATTTTTTAACTAATTATGATGCATTTCATCAAATTACAACTCCCTACATCATTTTATGAAAAAAATATATATATTAGTTCGGACTTTTTGCAGTTCACGTGACCCATAAATACACTTTTTTGAAATTTGAAGCGCCCTAGTTGCAGAAAGTTGATATTCAACATTCTAATTAAAATGCAAAAAAGAAATTTAAATTTCGTTGATATCTTGTGGTTCCGCCAAAGGTTGGAAAATTCGCTTTAAATATTATAAGTACTATCTATGAAGTTGTATCTTTTCAAATCGAAGTTGTTGTGCTCCTGATTTCATATGTAGGCAGTGGAACCTCGTCTCCTGACCAATACAGTGGACCCTTTGGGCAACAACTCGAGCATTGCCATAAATTGCCAGTGGTAAATTCTAATACAATGATTGAATGTAAAATCCCTGAAGTTAATTTATCTATTTTGAGCACTGATCAGAGGTACCTATGGCAAATATATTTGCTGGCAATGGTAGCAGATGATCGGGTTGATGTCATTAAAGTAGCCCTCGGACGGTAGCAAGATAACTTGAAATTGAAAAGCCTATGCATATGAAGAAACTTTGTGAGCCCAAGAAGAAATCAGTACGATCTGTAGGATTTTTGATGCTGACTAGGAATATAATTAATTCTGAAGCAGTTGACTACACGGAGTTGATTAGACTGGTCAGCATGTAAAATAAGTCCTGTACCATTACTTCACGACATTCCTTCCGAGGATTTAAAGAAATACCTGGAAATGGAAGATCCGCCGAAACTTGAAGTCCAATCATACTCAAGCTGTAGAGAGACTCGTGAAAATGGTAACCGATGCAAGTAAGAACTTGATTGGGCACGAGCTTAGAAAGGGCTACATTTTAAACAAGCTCAAATCAAGACTTGAAATACCTTGATTTAAAAAAATTTGACTTAAAAGTCAATGCATGAAGAAACTTAAGAATTTCTCAATTTTTAAGTGTTTCCTGTAAAATTTTAGAGCTCTGCACAGTGGTGGAAAAATAAATAGGGACACGATATTTTACCAAATTTTCCCTATTTTTCAATTAATTAATTCTTTTCCAGCCCAACCGACACGAGGGGCGCAGTACGCATGACGTACGGAACTTTATTTATTTTTTTTTTGTTTTTTGGCGCCGAGTCGTGGAACAGGAGTTTGTAAGTGTCGAGATCTAAAACTACTCAGCTACAGAATCAAATTCATCAGCTGATTGGATATGCTAAAGATAGTATCTCAATTATTGAGAGTGGAAATGATAGTTTTCTTTATAGTAAAAATCGAGTCCGATTTGAAGTTTAAATATTCATAATTTTTTTATAAAATTATAGCTCATTGTCTAACAAAAACCATTAAAATTCATGTTTCAAACTTTGCGCAAAAATTATAAAAATTCTGCAAAATTGCATCTAAATTTACAACTTTTTAATCAGATTTTTTAGAATTTTTTTGAGTATGCAGTTTTATAGCCCATTAAATTTTAGTAGAATAAAGTGCAGTTTTAACCTCCTAAAAAATCACGTTGATTTTTGATAATTTTTATTCTGAATGTATTATGCACTTAACTAACGAGGCACGCAGAAACAGAAATTATCTTTTTTGGACGAGATTATTTTTCAATTACAGCCATTTCATAATCCCAATGATAATGAAAATTATGTACCTAAAATGTACTATATCTCCAGAGGTAAGAAAAGTATTAAATGGTTCCAAAAAGTTTCTCTCTCGTTGGGGTTGGGCGCGTTTCGCAAAAAAAGTTCGAATATCATCTTAACACTGATCCTAATGCAGTGTATATGTCGGGATATGGAACATTTTATTATTATTCTTTTCCGACAAGTAAAGTGAGAAATTCAAAAAGCTGGTGAAATCAAATTTTTTCGAGAATTTTCACAAACTTTTAAAGCAAGTCCTGCAAATCAAGAGTACGAGGATTGAAATTAATACTTAAATAATGCCTATTCGTTTAGCTGCATTTTAGTATAGCTGCAATTTTCTGTTAGGAGGCTTATTTCGGTAGGAGTTTTATAAAATATGAATGAACATTTTTTCGTTTAACAGCATCACGAGATCAAACACAACGATTAACTCTGTCCATTACGAAATGGTCTTATGACTGTAAAGATTTCAAAAAACAGTTTCCAATAACCGAGTTTTTTAATAGATAATTACATGTCTATCAAATTTATTTGTATACTGTTACTAATTTTCCGCATAGCTGCCTTTTTTGCTTAAGTGCAGCAAAATGTTTGCATCGAACGCGAATGCAGCTAACGAAACGTATTGTATAAGCGCCTTTTTTAGTAATGTGATCCCAAGTTATAGTTAGGAAGGTGCCACACCGCCTTGTCGATTTCATTTTTTCATCAAAAAATAGGGCTCGTAAGTCCAACTCCAGTTCGCTGATCAACAAAATATTTTTGCGGAAAAGTGTTCCTCGCAAAAATACTGTGGCCAGCGCAGCTGGAGTTGGATTTACGAGGGCTACTTTTATGAAAAAATTACATCGCCATCGACATCGACAACCATAATGGGGCCGCATATAAATCAAACTTTTATACAGAGCTTAGAAAAATTTTACAAATTTTCATTAACATTTTTAGTTTTTTAATCTGACTGCTTAGAACTTTTTTGAGTGTGCAGTTTTTGAGTATGCAGTTTTGTAGCCCAATAAATTTTAAGATAATAAAATGCAAGTTTTAAGCGGTTGCAAAATCGCGGGAAGTTGCTTTTGAACGATAACCTTTTTCAAAACTTTTTTAAAACTTGCTTAAGCCCCTTTAGTGTGGGACCCATATTGTGATACATATTTCAATTACCTAATCGCCACAATTCAAGTTGAATTCGCTTGTTAAAACATGTGGAAACCTTACAAAATATAGTTCTGAATAAAGCCTTTCAAACGTATTTCGATTGATACCAATCTCCTTCAAACACCTCAAAACTAGTTAAAATATTTAAACTAAAGATTTCTTAGCAGTCTTTTTATTCGACCTTTCAAACAGGGGGCAACTCTTACGAAAAAATAAAAATGTTTTGCACATCTATAGGCCCAGCCCTTGAGACCTTTTTTTTTGTTTAATTGAATGAACTGTGCAAATCTGCATCCGAAATTTCGTAAAAGAATCGAAATGTGCATAGTTTATTTCATTTTAGAAAATTCGGCAAAAATCGGATAAGATCTTTACGAATTCTTTAAAATTTCTCTACAATTCAGATACCCTGATGAAATGGTTTGCAGGGACAATATGAACAAACTTGTTTGAAGAAAAAATTTTTACCGAAATGAGTTTGAATGATTTGAATGTTTTCCATTCATTCATTCACATTCTTCCATTTGAAGATAGAAACTTTAAAACAAAATGTATATTCATAACTTACAAAATTCCAAACGCTGAGTGTTTTGTATGTGAAGTAAAACATTCAGATCTACTGTACTCTGTTTGGCTAGAAGTTTGAATGAATTCATGCAGCCCTCTAATATGTAAGTATAGCATTACAAAAAAAAAAAACATATTCGTAAATCCGAATTTCAAACATTGTACAAAAATTAATCCTCTACTGCGTACAAAGCTAAATATGGTGTTTATACGAAAGCTATTTGCAAATCACAGCGCACGGCAGTGCGCGCGAGTGACGAAAGCAGCCACAGTAGCTTGCTGAAATGACTCGCTTATATACACACGAGATTTGGAAGTTTTTATCCAGACGTCCAATCGACATGTTTGAGATACTTGCAGAGTGTGTCCAGAAAATGTATTCAAGCTTCATAAGCGATTAACCGGTTTCTTAAAAATTAGGCTAGTGTTGCGAAACAAAAACCGTCTTTTTGCTTTTGCCGGTTTAAGGGGCATGTGGGCAGACCCAACATATTTAGTGTTATTCTATAGGCCAATACCTTTCAAACGATACCTTACATATTAAGTTCCGGCCACTAGTTGGAAAGATATAGAGGTAAATGTGTTTTGGTTGGTGTCTCCACTACGAGATGCTTTGGTATGTATGTGGCGTCTGTACGTACCTTCATTTAATTTTGTTCAAACTTTCAGGAATTAAAGCACACAAAAAACTAAGAAGGTTTTGTTCCAGGATTGGTGTGGATATCAGTAGAAGGGTCTTCAAACAAGCTATCTAACGCTATCTTTTGTGTTTATAAAATATAAATATGTCATAACTTTACCGCCTGAAAACTAAAAATCGGGCTGCTGAAAATATACATTTCGGTCATTTGCTCAAAAACTGGTCAGTCGATTTTATTTTAAGTTTCCACATCTGGCCCAAAACCTTAGCTTTCATCTGGTATATAGCTTATATCTGGGAAAACTCTTGTAGTGGAGATATTGCTATTCAAATTGAAAAAAATGTCGCTCAAAAAGGGTAAAATGGTTAAAAATTAACATATCCGTCTAATTTGGTTACTGCAAGATATAAAAATAACATATCTAGTTCCCCGAAAAAAAATTGCCCATTCCTCGATTGCCACTTAAACCGAAATTCTCTGCAAATCGGGGAATTTCCCGCGAGTTGACA